CTCTTCTGCAGAATGGGGCCATCCATCCTCTGGTTCCCCAGCATCAGTGTCCAGGGAAGCCCTTGAGCACCTCCATCCTGAACCTGGCCACCCTCTGGAGGAGCTGCACAGCCACTCTGCACAGCAGCTCCAGCCACAGTCCAGCCTCTCCTGATCTTTGTCATTCTGAAACGACCCCTAAACTGTCGAAGCATGGCTGGATGAACAGAGCCATGGGTCCCTGGAAATGTTGTACAAGCAAACCCCATATGAGCTTAGCATAAGTAGGCTTCACTTAACATAACTAGGGCTTACACCATGGTAAGGAGTTTCCAACGTATGCTGCATCATGCTGACAAGTTCAAGAGGGCAAGGACAGCAGCAAGAATGAAGAAGAAAAGAGGTTTTGCAATATAAAAATAGGGAAGTAAAAGAGATGAGAATGAGGAAGAACTCTGTGTTAGAAACCACCAAGTAAGAGGAGTATGTAAAAACAACCTTTTGCATTAAACCAATGAACTAACAACGCGTATGAATAATTACTGAAAACATATAAAAGTGCCGCTGTACTCCAAATAAACAGAAGCTGGCTTTACCAATCATATTGGTTGACTGCATGCCTTCCCTCGCTGCCATCACTAAACTAAGTTCGGATTTACAGTTTTTGTTTGTTTCCACAGTACTAGTTCCGGCCCAAGAATTCATTGCATAAACATCCAGGCTTCACTGCAGAACCTGTCTCTGTTAAACAGTGTCCAAAATGGCTCATTTCCTTCTTTTATCCCATTCTAAAGCCTCTGGCTGCTCTGGGAGCAGGGCAGGTCCCTGTCTCATACCAGAGCCCTTCCTAAGGCACATGCCTGCAATGCTTGGGATGATGTTGGCAGTGCCAAGAGCTCTTGATTCCTGCTGGGAGAGGCCTGGGCAGCAGCCACATCTCTTGCTCAGGGAGAAGTTGACCCTCCTTTTCCCACTGCCTTAAATCCAGGGGAAACCAATGTTCCACTGCTTCTGGAAAGGGAAGCGAGAGTGAAAGCAGTGGCTGGTGACTCTGGCTTTGTAGACACACGAGGTTAAACTTCCAAGTAACATTTATAATGCTCATAAGCATTTTTAACTCTTAAGCAGTTGTTAATAATTAAGAAAACTGAGACACTTTGACATCTGAAAGAGTTTTTCTCTCCCTGTCTCCCGTTTTCCTGACCAATGGAGAGTAGGAACTTTCCATGCTGGAACCTCTAATCAAGGGACCAGGAAGCGCCACTGATCTGCACAGACCCCTTTGCCTGCTGCTGCCCCACACGGAACAGGTCAGTGGAATGTTTGCCTTCCTCCCTACCCTACCTTCCTCTCCTGCAGCAGCTGCTCTGTTCCTGCCACCCTCACCCGGTGACTGCAGAGCCCTCCCCAGGTCCCCCTCCTCTGCCCTGTGCCCAAACAGACCAACCCTCCCATCTCCCTCTCCCAATCCACAATTCCCGCTGCCCTCCTCCTCTGCACATCTCACTCCTCCACACTGAATCCTTCCCACTGCAGGGAGCTGCTGAGGAGCCACATGGTCCACCCCTGGATTCTCCAAGCACTGACTGCCCATCCACTCTGACCACAGCCAGGGGCCACATCCCACTGCCTGCCCAGCGTCCATCCATGGAGGTGACCACCGTGTCCCCATCTCCTGCTTCACCCACTGAAGGAGATTATATGTGTGAGACAGATGTCACCGGCGTGGCCATGCATAGTGTGACACTGCTCATCTGCCTCTGTGGGCTGGCTGGGAACGGGGCTGTCATCGGCCTCCTCAACCTGAAAAGTGTCAACTATGGCATCTTTGACCTGGCTCTTGCTGACTTCCTCTTACTTCTCTTCACAGTCCCCTCTGCCATCCTCTTCCTGGTGGAGGACGGGTCCTGCTCTCCTATTGTGCCCATGCTGTACCTGCGTTTCCTTCTGCAGCTGTCAGTGGTCTCCTACTACTGGGGGCTGTTGCGGCTGACAGCCCACGGCCTACGAAAGGATGTGTCCTCACTCTGCAAATTCTGCTGCTGCTGCCAACTTCCCGAGCGCCTGACGTGGGTGATGTGGAGAGCCAAATACTGGGTTTTTTTCGCGCTTTTCACTATCATTCCTGCAGTGACATACTTGTGCCCATCACAAGAGCAGGAGCACTGCCAGGCAGCTGTCATCTCCATGTACACCATAATCCTGCTCCTCTTTGTTGCACCCGTGGTCATTTCCCGCGTAATCGTCCTCATTAAGGCCCAGCAACGCTCCCAGCAGCAGCAGCCCAAGAGGCGCAACATCGTTATCGTCATCATTGCACTCTTCACTCTCCTTCTCATCATCTGCAAGTTCCTGCAGGAGCTCGGCTACATCACTGTGTCCTTAGAGGTTGTTTTCCTGCTCACCAGCATCCACAGCACCATCAAATCCTTCATCTACTTCTTGGCAGGAAGGTGCAGAAGGCCCTGCTCCATGCAGTCCCTCCGGCTATCCCTCAACAGTGTCTTTGAGGAGCAGAAAGAAAAAACTGCATGCGGAAATGATGCCCCCAGCCTGTTGATCCATTCCTGTTCTGCTGAACGACCCCAGGACAGTGGTTCAGGGTTTCCTCGAGCCTCCTGATGAATCAATATCCACAGGATCACCCACCCTGTGGTGACGTATTCCTGCAGGAGAAAGAAGCAGGAGCATTGCCTTGGGTGATTTTTGTGGGATGCTCTGCAGGGAGCACATTGGAGCATGGCTTTCTTCCTCACTCCTGGATCCACATGGCTCCAAGCAGTGCAGCTGGGCTCAGTGCTATTCCCCACCTCTATTCCCCATGGAATGACCCTCATGGCCTCAGCCCCAGGGAATGAACTCCATCCCCTTTGGCTCAGCAGATGAGTTCCATGGTGTTTTCAGGGAGCTCTTGCCTGCAAAGCATGGGACACCTTAATCCCTGGGGACACACCCAGCATGGGGTGGCAGTGATTTCCCAAATCCCTGCAGGGCTGGTGCCTCTGGATGGCAGGAGAGGGGTTGGGATCACAGGGAGCATCCTTCCCCTTCTGTCCAGCAGAGCTGGCCCTGCGTTCCCAGCTGATGGGAAGGGACACCAGGTAGGGCTGCAGAGCTGGGGAGGGACAGCAACATTCCCTTATGCTTTCAGTGGGAATTTCTCACATTCTTGAATTCCAGAAATAAATCCTTCTGAGTAAAGTGCAGGGTCAATAGTGAACTCCAGTTATCCTTTATGCCTCCAGTATCAGAAAGTACATGGAATATGGAAATTCCCATCACCAGATGCTTGGACCATTGAATTGCACAGAAATTAGGGGGTTATGCTGCTCTTCTGCAGAATGGGGCCATCCATCCTCTGGTTCCCCAGCATCAGTGTCCAGGGAAGCCCTTGAGCACCTCCATCCTGAACCTGGCCACCCTCAGGAGGAGCTGCACAGCCACTCTGCACAGCAGCTCCAGCCACAGTCCAGCCTGTCCTGATCTTTGTCATTCTGTAACTACCCCTCAATCAGATTTGGATTCATGGTTTTTGTTTCTTTCCACTGTGGTAGTCCCAGCCTCTGAATTTGTTGAATAAACAACATCCAGTCTTCACTGCAGAGCCTTTGTTAAACAGTGTCCAAAATGGCTCATTTCCTTCTTTTTTCCCATTCTAAAGCCTCTGGCTGCTCTGGGAGCAGGGCAGGTTCCTGTCTCATACCAGAGCCCTTCCTAAGGCAAGTGCCTGCAATGCTTGGGATGATGTTGGCAGTGCCAAGAGCTCCTGATTCCTCCTGGCAGAGACCTGGGCAGCAGCCACATCTCTTGCTCAGGGGGAAGTTGTCCCTCCTTTTCCCACTGCCTTAAATCCAGGGGAAACCAATGTGCCACTGCTTCTGGAAAGGGAAATGAGAGTAAAAGGCGTTGGTGGTGAGTCAGCCTTTGGAGACACACGTGAGGTTAAACAGCTAAGGAGCATTTCTTAACAGAGTTGTTAATAATTAACAGAAGGGACGTTGACATTTGAGAGGGTTTTTCTCTCCCTAACTCCCGTTTCCCTCCATTGGAAAGCAGAAACGTTCCATGGTCAACCTCTTGTCCAGGGAAGAACGACTCAGCCAGGGAGTCCCTCCCAAGGCAAGTGCAGAAGGACCATTATCCTTCAATGTACTTTTT